CTCTCTCTCTCTCTCTCTCCTCTTTCTCTGTCTCCTCTTTCTCCTCTCTCTCTCTCTCTCTCTCTCACTTCATGTCCCTTTTCACTCTCTCTCTCTCCTCTTTCTCTCTCTCCTCTTTCTCTCTCTCTCTCTCCCCCCACTCTCTCTCTCACTTCATGTCCCTTTTCAGTCTTTCTCTCCTCTTTCTCTCTCTCTCTCTCAAAGTGGCGAAGTTGGCAGAGACATTTAATCAGTTGATATTTGAACAGTTAAACTCGGCGCCAACCTTTTTAAAACCAGGTGGAATTTAACAAACGCCTTCAAAATCGAGACTTGATTGGACACGAACAGTAATTTTCTTTACCTGAAAACACCTAATGCCCACACTCTCTCACAGGGCTATGCCAATAGGTGGTATGTTTTAATTTGAAGTTGTCAGTCAACTGTTTTCTTTAGTTCTTTTGGCAGTTTTTGTCCACTCTAATTCTAAAGATTTTATCATTTTGTCTTATGTGGTTCCTATATAATTTCTGTTAATACATTATGTCCTCGATACATGAGATCAGAGAGGATTTTAAGTTTTTTTAGTTCTTTTTTAAAGTAAAACAGATAATACCCCTGTTACATAAAATATCGATACGTATTTGCTAACATGACAAAAAACAAATAAATGAACTGATAAACAAATAAATAGTGAAATAAAGAAAGAATGAAATTCCTCTTTTCTTTCAATATGACTCTTTATTATTCATGATGATTTCATTTGCCAAAAGACCCCTGGCTTCGTAAGTCTCTTTTTAGAGTGTTTTTGCCATCATTACTGAAACGTTTGCCAAGCTGTACAAATGAATTTCCATTGTGGGTTACATAATTGGCCACGGTAGCTTAGAAATTTTGCACTCGAGCTTCATAATTAACAGGGACGTAATGCCACTGGGTTTTGTTAGAAGCCAAACCTTCCCGCGGCAGGGAAGCCCATACATGTGAACTAAATGTAAGATGATACAGGTATTTTGTTGAGATAGCTAAGATATAGTTCTTATTTACCGAGCGTATATATTTATATATCGAAACAAACCAATCAGCAGAGAGGGTTAACCGTTAGCAAAATGAAACGATTTTCAGCATATTTGCAGATTTGCAAATTTGCTGCAAATTTAACAACTTGCAAGAAACTGTTTGCAGGTTGTTGCAAAAAAATTGCAAGAGAATATATATAAAAACACTGCGGCAAGTTTGAAAGAAGTTCTTATATTCTTTCAAATTTTAACATTACTTCATTTGTATAGTAAAACTTCTTGCAAATTTTGCGACCGTATGTTTTGTGAGAAGCCTAAGATTTTGCTTAGGGAATTTAATAATCGTTAAATGATTACATAGGGTACAGGGCTGATGGGTTGCTTGGGTTTGGTTCGGTTTTTCTTGCCAAATTGCGATCCATTTTCTCCCTGGTTCTACCATTGAAGTGCACAAAAGGAGAACTTATCAAAATAACAACTAAAGATAAACAGCAAAATGCGTTCCTGAAACTTCCCTACCCTTTGACCGCAGGGTCCGCT